ATGGGCTCGCAAAAACTATTAAGGAAAATATCATTAAAACTTTAAAGGAGACTTCATTTTGTCTAAATTTGGATGAAAGTACTAGCAATGCTCAAGAAAGTATACTGGCAATATTGGTGCAGTTTTATGACGACAATCAAAATGAAGTTGTAGTTCATCATTTTGCATCTCTAAAGATGGAATCTTGCAATTCAGAAGCTGTTTTTAAAGTAGTTGTTAATACTAAAAAAATCCAATGACTGATCCAATTCACAAAGATCTCTTACTGAATATGAACAGAAGTTGGAAAACATATCAAGAGGACTTAAAAACATGTATTTCAGATGAGTTACCTATAAAAGTCTCTGAAAAACCTTCTACATTAGCAGAAAAGCAAACTGCTTCTACCTCTGCATGTGCAGTTCTCGAGGAAATTTCTTCAACTGTAAATGAGGAAAATAAAAGTCAACCTTCCTGCAATTATGAAGTTCACCACAAAAGAAAGACAAGCCCACAAACATCAGAAAATAATTTCTTCAACTGTAAATGAGGAAAATAAAAGTCAACCTTCCTGCAATTATGAAGTTCACCACAAAAGAAAGACAAGCCCACAAACATCAGAAAATAAAAAAAAAGCAGCAGAAATTAGATAATTTTTTTTAAAGAATTAATTCAGGTAATTTAAATTATTTACGTAAAATGTAGTAGTTTATATGTTTGAAAATTTATGGTTATTAATTTTGCAAAAAAAGTAATTCATTGAACTTTTATAATTAGGTCATTCAATATTTCATAATTGTAATTTTTCATTTCTCTCCCCCCCCCTTCTCGAAACTCCAAAATGTCGGTAGTAAGTCCGTAAAAGTTTCAGGGGATTTTTTGGGGTCCCACAAACACCCCTGATCTCTGTACTTGACACTTTTTTCTCTTTATATCCACTTTCTTTTCATGTTTATTTCCTGAAGACTCAGGAATGATCATTGGAAGTTTTGAAGCCATATGTACCACTCTTAACTCCTCTCCTAATTTTCAGTTGGAAAATCTCTCCTGATAATAGTGTTTCCTATTACACTTATAATTTACCAGACGTTCAAAGCTGCATGATCCAAAATATTGAAAAAGATGTGTACATGTCATCGTCTAGAAGCCAATCAACTGAATATTTTCGGCAGATCTGATCACGAACACCGCACCATGCTTTGTTGCGTTGTAAAATGCTATTAAATCGGGCAACTTCTTGAGACTGTCTTCAGTTTTTACAGTAGAATGTAATGAGCTCAGTATAAAAATGTTTTTGTTTCTTTTGCCTTGATAGATGGGTGTGATATATTTATGGTCCACTGTTGTTGATGAATAAAGATTACTACGCATATTTTTCAAAAATATAGGAATTTCTTTTCTGTTCTTTTTCCATTGTGCCGACCATAGTTGTATTTTTTTATTTTAGCATTGCTGCTAATTTAATGCTAGTAAAATAGTTATCCATACTAATATTCCTCCCTTTGTTTAGATGTGGCTCTGTTAATTTTATGGCAACATTTTCAGACAAAAGTAATTGAGTATTTGCTGTTTAATCTTTTCCTAGATAAGGAAATTCCATTCAAGAGGTATTTAGCATCCAACGTTGAGAGATGACCAAAATTTATTCCAAATTTGTCAGGTTTATTAGGCATATATTGTGTAAATCTACACCTAGCTTTAGATGGGAATAATTGTTCATCAACTGTAATATTTTGTCCTGGCCAGTAGCGCCTTTTGCAGTTTTCAATAAATTTGTTCCACATGTTTGATGCAAGAGCAAATTTATCAGTCTGTAATCGAGTAGATCTTGTCTTTTCATCGAACCTTAGAAATTGTTTTATTTCTTTGAATATGTCTCTTGATATATTTTCTTTGGAAAATGGTAGTCCCCACACTTCGAACCACAAGGAATATAAATCTAAGCCCTTTGCTCCTATTACGAACATACAATATAGCGACAAAAGCATCTAACTCAGCCAGAGATAACTTCCAGTCTTTATTTTCAAGTTGCCGATGAGTTTTGGATTCTGTACATTTCTTTATATGCAGCAAGATATCATCATCAATAAAAAGCTTGAAAGCACTAGACACTTTGCCCTCAGAAACACGACTCTTTGCAAAAGATGTTAGTCTTGTTGTTTCTTTCAGAACATTATAAGCAGGAACATGGCCGCAGACTGAATTTTTGGAATTTATTTCATTCCATATAATGTTATCAGAAGCTGTAAAAACAGTTTTGCAAATACCCTGATGCGTTTTTGCCCATTTATTTCTGCTGAGTTCTTCATTTACTTCGCTGTCCTCGAATTCACTAACAGTTTGTGTCTGGAATTCATCTTCAGTTTCTACAGAAAAATTATCAATTTCACCTCCATGAGACTCATTTTCAGATAGCTTCTGCAACAATTTTTAATTTCTTCATCCGTAAAACCTCTTTTCCACTTATTAAACATATTTTGTAAAAATTGAAAAAAGTAGAAAAATCTCAAACTATCAGAAAACAATAAGGAATATATTTTAGCATTTTAGCATATGATTCTCACAGTGCTAAATCTTTGTGAATGTGAAAAGCCTCAAGAAAATCCAATTCACCTATGGAAGAAGCCTTTTGGGTAATTTTTGCAGATCCAAAATCAAAATTATGGTTAAAAGTCCAACTATGATATGCTATTGAAGACTTGTTAATTTCGCCTTTTCTGACATAAGATGTTTTAACCATAATTTTGATTTTGGATCTGCAAAAATTATCCAAAAGGCTTCTTCCATAGGTGAATTGGATTTTCTTGAGGCTTTTCACATTCACAAAGATTTAGCAGGTTTAGTTAATGATTTGAAGTCCAATCCAGTCCTTCCTAATGCCTTTAAAATTCTACTATCTTAATTCAGTTATTTATGCCGATAGATGGCGTTACCTCCTCGCGTTTGGTACTACCAGAGGGTATAAAAATCCGTTCAGTGTTTGCTTTCCATTATTAGAAGTTCAGATTTTGAGCGTGAAGGTGCAGTTTGCCCCTTCGCTCCCTATTTTTAACTTCGCTAATTTTGCTTGTCCTTTGTGTTACATGTTTGATCAGATAGACTGGCTCAAGTTAAAAGTAGGCGGCCAATGTAAATCTGATTAAAAATCCAGTTATAAGCCACGTGCAGGTGCTGATAAGGACCACGTGTTTCTGAGACTCCTTCTCCCTTTATTTTCTTCTTTCTAGGTATTTCTTTCTCCTGATGAGGAGGGACCTTTAGCTGCCCTCGAAATCGATTGAGTGTTTCATTATACCTACGCTAAATACAAGGTTGTTTTTACGATTTTGATAATATAACTTCTTCGAAACTACAATAGAAAATCATTTCTCCATGTTGGAGATTGTTTTAAAAGGTGTTACATGGGAAATGTATTTTTCACAGACAGTGTTGTTTTATTTGTTTATTTGAAGATGGCAAAAAGATAAAAAAGCTGCATGCTTTGGTTTTATGACTCTGAAAAACTTTCCAAGGGCTACCAAAACTTCATATTTTAGTGAAAGAGAAGAGTTAAGGGAAACTGACTCATCTTCACACCTACACAAAGAAAAAAACCTTGGAAACACTGATGCAGGCAGTCTATTTACCTGACTATAAATATTAGTTAAACTACTAGTATCCAAGAGCCGTAACCACAAATGACTATTGAAGTTAGTATATGTTATAAATGTCACCATTTAAAATATGTTTGGCATGGTTTAAATATCTTTAATATGTGTTTTATTCTGAATACCCTTCATATAAACACCAAATGAAACTGACCGAGCATAAGTTATGCTCAAAATATTAACATCCTGTAGAGACATTAGGATTTTTGGAAGGAGGCAAAATTAGCAACGCCATCGCCTGGAATCAAATCGCAGACCTCTCAATTATGCGCTGAGCATGCAGACCACTACACCACGAATGCTCGGTAAGAAGGCAGAAGAAATACCTTATATGCTCCCCCTTTTAAAGGGCGACTGGGTTTTACGGGACTTAGTGACCAAATCCTGGGTGAGGAAAATCATCATCCAACACCCTTTTAGTTCAGGCACCAATGAAGAGACATTAGGTATTTTTTGGAAGCAGGAGAAATGAAAAATTTGCAACGCCTTCGCTGGAAATCGAACCACGGACCTCTCAAATTCGCTTCGAGCATGCTGACCACTACACCATGAAAGCTCGGTAAGAAGGCAGAAGAAATACCTTATATGCTCCCCCTTTTAAAGGGCGACTGGGGTTTTACGGGACTTAGTGACCAAATCCTGGGTGAGGAGAATCATCATTCAACACCCTTTTAGTTCAGGCACCAATGAAGAGGCATTAGGTATTTTTTGGAAGCAGGAGAAATGAAAAATTTGCAGCACCTTCGCTGGAAATCGAACCACGGACCTCTCAAATTCGCATTGAGTATGCTGACCACTACACCACGAAGGCTCGGTAAGAAGGCAGGAGAAATACCTTATAGCCCAGTAAGAGTTAAAATATTTTTATTGGCTATTATGTAGCTTATGCCAATGAAGTGTAGCTGTGTTGTTTAAAGTCATTCTGTATAGAAATATCCGTTTCATCATGTATTTAAATATAATTATACATTAAAAAATGGTGGTTTCATATATTTCCTTAAAATATTAATACTTCTGATTAAAGTATCAGTTGCTGTGGAAACTTTTCAGTTAATATTTGTTATAGGTATAAAGAATAAATTTTTTTCCTTAAGTGTTTCTGAAAATTTTTATGTAAAATTTGGAATGTAAAAGTATGGAAGTTTGTGCTTTAGTAAAGGAAAGCATATTGAATATTTTAGCTAAAAGTAATTTTTAAAAAAGAATTACCTGTCACATGTATGGCCTATACTTGAGCTTAAGAACTTTGTATAAAATATTATTCAATATTTGAATGAGTTTATTACTGTGTTAGATAATTTCTTATTTGATTATGAATATTGCACACTTTTTTTTTTTTTAAATAACCCAAAATTCCTTGTCTTCCTCCTCTAGTGATACTCTTCTTACAAGGCCTCTTCTGTTAACATTATTATCATATGATCCAATCAGAGAATTTATAAAACAAACAGATTATCAATTTTACCAAAATCTAGTCGATGTCTTGATACCAGATGTGCTGCGGCCAATACCAAGTAAGTAAAAATCAATAGTGCCTTGCGTTATTTTCAGTGTTATTTATCATATGCTTTATGTGTCACGCATGAGCAGTAAATATTTTTTCATAATAAAGCATGTGAAGTTATTCTTAATTTCACTTAAGCACTGAATAAAACATCTTCATGTTGAAGAAATACAATCATTTATTAGCATTGAAGAAATACAATCATTTATTAGCATAAATCTATATTGATCAGTTATTTGGCTCCATAGCTGCCTTTCTGCTTCGCATACATCTCAAATTGAAACACTCTACCAAAGTCCGTTACTGATTTTGCATCTACTGAATACTTTATATCCCAGTTGCTAACCTGACGAATCATTTTTTGCTTTCATTCTCATGTAGCGATGTCTAAAACAACTTTTTTTTTTTTTTTTTGTTTATGTTAGAAATTGAATAAAAGATAACATGGTAACCTTTTATATTGACACTTGGTGATAATTACAGACTTCAGCCAACTGTGTTGAGTGTGTTAATAAGAAGAAATTTAAAAGAAATTTCTTTCCATATGCAAGAAATAGATTTTTTTAAATGATATTCATAGGTCAAAGGAATATATGTAGTTCTATTTAAATTAGGAAAACTGATTATGTAGTTCAGATAAGCCTTAATTATATGCAGAATTTATTTATTAAGGATTCCAATGAGCCTTAAACATATGGGTAAAATAGACATAAGTAATCTAATATAGTTCAGGCTTAACTTCATCAGCATGCAATAGAAGCGAGACAAAATTTAGCAGGACAATAAATCTCTAGTCACCAATCTAGCCAATAATATATAGTGACAGTTGGAGATTTAAAGGTTTTTGGATATTCTAAAGAAAAGTAAATATTTCCAATTAATGGAATTCATGAGGAAATGTGGAGAAATGGTAATAAATGAAAATGATGTAACAGATGTTTTCCTTCTCAGTGACAATGAGTCAGTTCATTGTTGATTGCATCTCTCAACTAATGGATGGCAAAATCTGTAGTATGTTTTTAAATCCAGATAGTGTCATGCGGATAATGAAGAAAGTGAAACCGATGTTATGTGAAAAAATTTTAATTGACAATTTATTGGTAATTCTCAACACAACAGAAACAGGATTTGAACAATGGAACTTTTAAAGTGAATACGGGATAATGTCTATCTACAAACTTAGAGAAAGTAATTAGCAACAGAAAATGGAACTATTTTCACAGCTTCTTTATTGTAACTTAAACAACTTAGATTGAAAGAAATGGTTAAAAAAGCAAACAAATAAATATTGAATTTTATTGTGAATTTTAATTTTCTTAAGGTCATAAATGCTTCATTATTTCATAAATAAATATTTCTTGTTTTTAATTTAATAATTTATGCATCTCATCTTGCTAGATATAAACTGATGATGTAAAATCCAGAAAATTTGTAAATCCAAAAATTGCCAAAGCCTCTAAAAGTCTAAATTTTGGGCTTTGGATATATCTAAACTGAATATGTAATCTTCAGTCTAGGCATGGAAGGATTTTTAGTTTATATTCTGCAGATTGTCAGCTCCCATAAACTTTTCTAAACTATCATTTAACATGATTTTGTACATCCCTTAATATTTTTGTTTGATTTTGGGGGCTATTAAAATTTATTTTTTTAGGAATAAATTTTAAAAATTATTTTCTTACAATGTAAAGAATGCCTATTTAGATAGATTATTCAGCATTTCCAATTGGAAAATTAGACCATATGCTTTTAAGTATCCTTAGATATGATGAGTTAGATGCTTCTTATGGAAAAATGTTTAATTTATATTATTTATTCCTGCAAATACAAATAAGGAGAGCACACATATATGCTCTCCTTATCTATATATATGCAAATAAGGAGAAGATATATAAATACAAAAAAGGAGAATCCTCTGTATATATATATACAGTACACTCCCGATTATCCGTGGAATTAGGTAGCGCGGATACGCCGTGTCTAGCTCATCAAAGGTAGAACCCTTCATAGTTTTTCGCATTTTCATTGCGGAAGCACTGTCCGACGTTGATGCAAAGTTCACCAGTTTGTCTTTTTGCTGAATGTCACACACTGTTGTTTCCGCAATTCCCTAATCCAATTCCATCTGCTGCCTTGTAGCGCCGTTTGCTACTTTGGAAATTAATTCTAGTTTTTGCGCAGTCGTCAACACAACCTTCTTTCGTTTTCCTGACATTTTAAATCGGTAACGACAAACATAAAACCAAAAAGCACTTAACACATTAAAAGATAAGAAATTAACTCCAGTTCGCAAACACTATCCGGCTTAAACTAACAATGGCGAGTGGGAGGAAGTGGACATGTCAGTAAGATTAAGATGAGAGAGGGCGGTGGAGCGGGCACTACAAGGGTGAGTAAGAAATCACTTACTCATCAGAGGGGAAGTTTCCGAGAAGGCCTGGGATAATTTTGCCATAAATAAGCACGATGTTAGCAAATTTAACATTTCACTCAGTTTTGTGAACATTTCTATTTTCTTTGCATTATGCTTGTAAAAAAAAATAAAATTAAAGGGGAAAAAAAAAAAAACACTTTGCGCGGCAGGCACGAATAATCGAGAGTCTGCTGTATATGGAGGCTGTTCACACACTTTTTAGACGATTTTGTGTCTGCTTGGAATTTTTTAACTGAAACTATATTTTTGAAAAAAATAAATATCTATATTTTTTATATAATATAATAACTATATTTTTGAAAAATATAAATTATCATCTGGTGCTTGACAGTTTTGTTTTCATGCAAGATGTCGCTTTTAAAGAAGCAATGGATGGAAGACTACGTTTGTATTCTTTCCAAAGAAAATTATTCGTATTTATTTATTAAAAAATATTGTAAAAGCCATGGTTTTTCTGATATCTAAAGCTACGATAGACAATGTTGTCAACAACAAGCAGAAAACTGTCAGGATTAATTTCAAGTGGAAAAATTGTTCCAAATATGTATCCAAGGAACAAACTGATGTTACAAAAGTAAGATCTTTAATGTTAAAAGAAAATCTGTGAAGTCAAAGGACAGTTGCAGAATCATTAAAATTCTCATTGTCAACTGTAAGCAAAGTGTTTAATCCTGATTTAATCTTAAAGAAGCAAAAAACATAATATATATCATTTTTCTCCATTGTATATCACCAACTGCAGAACACACAGCAGAATTCTTTATGAGAAACATTTATTTGAACAAAAATAGAAAAGTGTTGTCACAGTAGATGAATCTTGGGTGTACTTAAATGACTGCAATAAAAAGAGATCCATTTATTATCATCAAAGAGGATAAAAAATCTTAAAACATGCTTCAAAGCATCTAAAGAAAGTTTATCTAATTGATTTATGATTGTTGCTGGTTTTTCATAAAATGGCAAATTAAAAATAAAGACAGTGGAGAAAAATGTTAAGATCAACTCTGCATATTATCAAAAACGTATTTTATACCTACTTTTCAAATATAAAATACCTTCACTTAACACACAGTGGGATCAATCAGTCAAACTGCATCAAGACAAATCAAAATCTGCTGTTAATTTCCTGGAAAAAAAAATGGCACAAAAAATGGGTATCAATGCCATACCTTCAGTCATATCCCTACTAAATCTCCTGACCTATTACCAATGTATTTTTGCAATTTTGGACATTTAAAAAGTGGGTTATCTAAACATTGACCGACAATCTCCTTAGTCTTTGGAAAGCTGTTAGAGAGCAATGGGATAAAATACCTCTTCCGATACTACAAAAAGCTATATTAATTACAGTATGTAAAGATAGTGAAGCATAAGGGTTATCAAACAGAACATTTAAAACATAAAAATTTTAGGTAAAATATTTCTGTAATTACAATGAAAATTATCTAAAAATTGTGCGAACAGCCTCTGTATTTTTACATTAGAAACATTTCTAGATGATTCTTTCCAAAATATTTGCAGCATTACGTTATGACATGCTATTAAGTACTTCTCCATTGTATTGGTAATCTTACTACTGCAACAACATTGATCTTCCCTATGATGGTGATAGAAAAACCTCCAGATTGCTGGTGGTTAAGGACTTTACAGTCATTAGTACTATTGGTTTGATCTGTTTATAAGGTACTTCTCCCATCGTCTTAGCATGCCTTTATGGTGTAATGGTTAGCACGATTGGCGCGTATTCGAGTGGTCCGTGGTTCGAATCCCAGCGAGGGCATTGCTCATTTTCATGTCTTGTCTTCAAAACAACCTAATATCTGTACATATTTAGGGCCTATGGTATTTGAGGGTCACTGGTATTTTTCTGTTAACTGCTTTTGCGACTGGAAGAAAGATCACTACTTTTTAGTTTGAATGGCAGATGGAACTAGCTATAACATTTCTCATGTTATATATATTTAAATGGTATTTTTAAATTGCTTATATGTTTTCTTTGTGATTTTGGCTAACTTGTTTATATGTGTCTTGTCTTAAATTTCAAGGCACTCTTACCCAGGCTATTAGGAACTTTGCGAAGAGCTTAGAAGGCTGGTTAAAGGCTGCAGTATCTGAATGTGGAGATGAAATATTAAATATTAAAGTAAGTGTATTATTTTTTATGCATTTATAGTGGAATAGCATCTGAAAGAAGCACCATAAACTCTTGATCCTACATATTTATTGTACTTGAGTGAAAGGAGAGTAGGTTGATGTATGTGGTGGGATAATGCCCTAGTTATAAAACACAGCTAAATTGATGACTACTAGGTGTTATTTCACAATATACATGTATGGAATGTTTGAATAACCTAACCTCTTTGGGTTGGATTAGGTTATTTGAATATGGTAAAGCACATGAGGTCTGTATGGCTAATTAACTTTTAGCCTTTAATCCTCTAAGCGTTACAGCCGGGAAATTCCATATAGAAGGGCGGCTTTCATATTCATTACCCATAAAAATTTCTGCCAGCTTTAAATGTGGTGGATTTTGGATTGGATGTATATTGAAAGAAAAGGAATAAACGTACAAAGTTGAAAAAGTCATTTTTAAATTATAATCAAGAAAATACCATTTATTCATGATAGTTTGAAGAACTTTGAAATTTCAGGGCTAAAGAAAGTATTTTTCACCAGTAAAATTAAGCTATGCAAATGAAATTTGCACAGTTTACGTTTTCATTATTGATTTAATAAATGTTAAATTGTTTAAATTTCATTTCCCCATCCTAGTGATCTTCAACATAATTGTTTTTATTAATTTTATTTAATTTGAATATACTGTAGACACTTACAGAACTTTATATGAAGAGTCAACCAAATGTTTTATCACTAAGTATTTGTATTTAATTTTATTCAAGTCGATGTGTAGAGTCATTAGGTCTATTTTGGAATGGGAAACGTGAAACATTAGCAATTCTCTCACCGGGAATTGAAATGTGAAACTTCCGGCATGCTTCTTCTTCTTCTTCATAAGCTCCATGGCCTGTTATAGCCTAAGGCTGTCTCTCCAAGTTTTTCTCCACTTGACCCCATTCGGTGCAATAGCTCTCCATCTGTTAACTCCAATTAACCTTCGATCTTCCTTGACATCTTATATCCATCTAGTGGATGGTTTTCAGCTTTGTCTTACTCCCTCAATTCTCGAGAAGGTTATCTTTTTGGTTGGAAATGCATCATCATATCTAAACACAGGGCCCAGCTATCTGATACGAGATGTCTGTACGATTCTCACAATATCACTTTCATATATTTTCCATATAGTTCATGATTATAGAGGATCCTCCACATGCCATTTTGTTGTACCAGTTCAAAGATCTTTCTTGGGATTTTTCTTTCAAAATTTGATTGATACCAGGTCATTCATTCTCTGCTCTGTTAAGTATCCAACATTCACTTCTGTAAAGGATAACAGGCCGGATTAAAGTTTTATATAAATTTAATGTGGATTAGTTTGGATTTAAATTGTTTTTTAAGGCCATAATAATATCTATTAGCCATATTCTATTTTTTATTTCAATTTTTATATCGTTGCAACTTTTGATCAGAGTGCCCAGATATTTAGATTGTTTTACGGTTTCAGAGGTATAACTGTTTATCTTCAAGGGGGATAAATCAACAGTAGTATTAGATGCAATCATAAATGTAGTTTTGTCCTCATTAATGATTAGGTCCATCTGTCTTGCTGCATTTTCAAGTGAGACAAATGTCTTGACCACAGCTCGTTTTGATCACCCAATGATTTTAATATCATCGGCAAAAGCCTGCAGTTGAATGGTTCTGTGAAATATGGTTCCACTTGTGTTTATTCCAGAATCTCTTATGGGCCTTTTCTAGAGCTATATTAAACAACAGGCAGGATAGTGAGTCTCCCTGCTTTAATCCTTTCTTAGTATAAGAAGATTCTGAAAGATATGTTGAAATTTTTATTTTACATATCAATTTTTTAAGAATTATCCTTGTGAGCCTTATCAGTTTCTTTGGGATATTAAATTCTACATCGCTTCAAGTAGTTTTTCTCTGTTAACACCTTCGCACCGGGTGCGCAAACGCGCGCTTATCGCAGAGGCCAGCAGTGTCTTTACGCAAGCGTCTGTCCAGGGTCGGAGGCTTTTTTGCTATTAAGCCTAAATCCATGAAATTTCCGAAGTATCAATGCATTGTTTAATAATGCTCTATAGAGTATTTAAACGGCTTATGCTTTATATATATATATTTTATATATACTTTAATTATCTTATTTCTTGTTTAAATGCATATTTACCCATTTTATTTTCATTACTCACCATTTTATGACTTTTAACATTATACATCTGAAAACTAAATATATTACTTAAAATTCTCTTTTCGTATGAAAAATTGAAAACAGGGATCTACACACAGTCCTACGTTACATTCCTTGCACACGTAATAACTCATTTGCCGTTTTGGAGGATTTTTCCGGGAATGTGAACAAACGAAGCATTGTCGTCTCATTTTCTTATCAGTCTCTTCTGAACAAAGTTTTGGAAAATGTCTTTCAGTTAATCTTTCAGAATCAATATCAGAATATCTGAATTTCAGAATCAGAGAGTATGGTTGTCATATTTGGCGACAAAATTGGCAATATACCATGGACGGTTGGAGAACCTTCTGGAACGAATTCTTACCGGTTTAGTCCAGAATGTTCCCGAACACAAGCCGAAAGCTATATAAACCATGCTGGTCTGCAGTCAGCAAGTTTACCTCGTCGAGAGGGTGAGAGTGTCTGCCTTGCATAGAGTGCGAGACAGTAAGTATCGAGTATGTGTGTCTTCTCTAGTGAGTCAGTTCGTGTGGAATCGATCGAGTTGACAGCCGGGCAGCAAGTGCCAAGTGGGTCATCGAGTGCACCGAAGAAGTCTGTTAGTGTATCGTGGTTAGTGCATCATCGAGAGAGCGTGCTGAGCTCCGGGAACGACTGAACCGAAGAGTCGGGAGCTGTGCTCGTGTGTCGCCGAATACGTGGAGTTCCAAGAATGACCAGAGTCGGGAGCTGTACTCTGGTGCTTTGCAGGAAGCTGTCTCCATCATTATTGCCTGACAGTGTGAAGGTTGTGTCGCTGATTGTTCCAGCGTGTTTATAGTAGATCTTCGACATCTGTAAAATGTGACTTTGGAGCTGTTCTGATCAGTATTGGCTAAATAAAGTGTGTTTCTATACTTCATCAAGTGTCGTCGTTATTCACTCCAAATCTATAAACCCCGTACGAACGTGGAGGAAGAAAATAATGTAACAACTGGTGTCAGAAAAGAAAGAAAAACATAACAATATTTTTGTTTTTTAATCAAAATTTTGGTTGTAAATTATAGTTATCGTGGATTTTTTTCCTCCTCCCTTTCTTAGCTGAGTGCCATCAGTGCCTTTGCTCAAACATTAAGACGTTACACTTCACTGAACCACTTAGCTCAAGCTGCAAGAGCTGTTTTACAAAGTTCAACACAAATCAAGCAGATGACTTCTGATCTGAATAAAATTGATTTTCGAAATATTCAAGTAAGTTTAATAGTACAAATTCATTTTATTTTTGTTTATGATGACTTATTTAAAATGGAATTTTAATTTGTTTATTCTGTAACCAGTATGCTGAAACAAACCTTAATATATACATTTATTACTTTTATAATACTGTATTCGTTAATTGAATATTTCTTTACTTGGCTACTGTTGAAAACAATACAAATTATGATCTGTTGTGTTCACTGATCTATTTTTTAATTTATATTACATATCACAATCATTTATTGAGAATGCATATAATTTATAGTTTTAGCATTGGTTCTTTTTCACATGATGATATTTACTGTATTTGCATAACAGGTGAAAATATCTCGATTTAATTATGTAGAACATTGCTTTAAAAAAAAAATTGCTATATAGATTTTACTAGCTTTTGCATTAAAAATGTTTAATTTTAAGGAAAGCAAATGAAAGAGCAAACATATTAAAATATTTTAATATTTAGGAACAGGCATCATGGGTTTGTCAGTGTGAGGATGATGCAATTCGTCAGTTACTTGTGGAATTCCGCCAGACTTTACAGCATCATCTTTGGCTTGAAGAATGGGCTACTTGGCTAGAAAAAATTGTTCATAAAACTCTGGAACCATATGAAGGCAAACCAGCATATCCTAAAGCAGCTCGACAGTTTCTTTTAAAATGGTCATTTTATAGGTATGTACATTTTATGTAAAACATGACTTTTTTATATATGTGTGTGTTGGTGTGTATATAAGTCATATATATAAACACACATATGTACATATAAACACACAAGTATACATTTTACTTAATTTTTCTGCATTTTTCAAGAAATAAAAGGAGACTTTAATGTCCATTTGGACATCCTAGAAAATATCAGTCTGATGCCTGTTAAAGGACATTGAATAAATAGTAGCAATATGAAACCTGTTTTAATCTTTTTAAACCAGGTTGAAAATTCTCATAATTATAGCCTTTAGAATGGCACAAACTAAAATGTTTTTTCGCCTCCTTTACTGTTCCCTAAGGAGAAAAGTCGTTTAAGAGGTAATTTGTCTTCCCTATGAAGGCAGTAAAATTTAATACTATATATGTATTTCTGTATAATTTATTTAGAGCAAAATATGTGCAATGTTTATAGATGTTTGTATAACATTTACTGTTGGTGGTCAGTCATGGTAATCATTTATGTAATTTTATAACTTTATTTTCATGTTAATTCGGACACCCATAATCCGGACCTCAAAGCTACAAACTTTTTGCGCATGCATCGCGTTCACGCATGCGCACAGGCATTTAAGAGTGCATGTAAGACCTTTACGGCTGCGAATGTTTGTGCACATGCGCGTTTAATGTGTAACGGAGATATAAACTAAGCTAAAATTATCTAATTAAGTTAATGTTGCGCATTGCGTTGTTCCTTAATCTTCGAATTGGATCCGGCTTATTATTTTTTGCAGACTGTTAGAGCAATTTCATAAAAGTAGGCTTGAACTTTCGATTATGTCAAATAGAATTTCTGATATATATTTACTAATATGTAATTTGTATCTACAAAGCGAAAGTATGTTTTGAAATCCGAAATCTGTTTATCAATTTCACGCCGCGGATTGGAAGTTGATCTGTCAGCACTATCCTTATCTTCAGGGGCAGATGTTTTTATTTTATTTGGCTTATAATTTCTTACTAAGTGTAGTATTTCATGTCGATGTACTCCGTGTTTGATATGATTTAAATCAGGTTCCTGGTCATTATAATTCGCTTCCAATAGTGAAGAAAGTGACCCACAGGTTAATTGAAAACGAAAACATTTCGATTGACAAATTAGTCAGTATTCTCAACACAGCAATTATAGGACTTGAACAGCGGAACTTTGTAACTAAACAAGAAATTATGTCTGTTTAATAGAATTAAAGAGAAAGTATTATCACATGAAACAAAGCAACTTACATTGAAAGAAATGTTTAATAAAGTAAACAAATAAATATTAAGCTTTTTCTTTTTGTAAATTTTGATACCCTTTAGATCATATATGTTCTTTATTTCATAAATTACAGTTTCATATTTTTAATTTTGTAATTTCTGCATGCCATCTTACCAGATTTAAACTGATGATCTATAATCCGGAAAAATCGATAATCCGGAATCGCCGAAGTCCCGACGAGTCCAGATTAACGACTTTTGACTGTAATATGAAAAAGAAAATCAGAGCTATATTGGTTGTGTCTGATTATTTAACTTTAGGAAATGTTACATTGGACTATCAGCCAAAGGAAGTATATCTGAAAAGAGAATGTTCTGGGTAAAATTTACTATTATATACGTCACTAAGAAAAAAAATCTCCAAATATCTATACATGCAATATATTCCATATCTGCAGTGAAGTCTAATGAGATAATTCTTAAATCCTTGAATTTTTGTGGTGTCCATAGAATATTTTTAGGCTTCATTTTAAAATTTGATAAAGAGAATTTTTATTTTATTTTTTATTTAAAGTAAGTTTCCTTTCATAGGAATTCCCTGCCTCTCCATCTAAAACCAGTGTTACATCCAAAGGCAGAATTTTGCGTGATTTTAAGTTAAAAGATGTTAAAAAAAGGGGGAGGGAAGGGGTACTTCTGGATCTTTCGTTTTATTGGGCCAACTGAAGAAATGTAACTTGCATTTTTTATGTCTCGAAAGCATGACAGGCTATATGTTAGATTTATATATAGTGTTCATTTAACATAGGTATTTTGAAACAAAATTGGGGTTCCCTGAAATGACATGCTGATTTTTTTTTCCATATTTCAATTTTACAACTCAAATTATGGAAAAAAAACACCAATTTTTGTAAAAATCGCATGAGTAGTTTAAAAATTGGCTCTCAAAATCTTAGCTCCACGTAGTAAATATAATCGGCATGCATTTTATTTAAAAAAATTAAATAATGAAGAATCCATAGGAATGCTTAAATGTTTCTTGCCTTGTGAAAAAACAACAGTACCTAGAGCCATTAAATTTTGAATAACGTAGTCCTCCAACCAGGCATAGACACTTGGAAGCCGAAACTTTGACTTTAAATGTTAATTGAATTTTGTATATATTTATTAATATCTCCTTCTCTTAATTAAACTTACTTGATTCCTTTTTTCACAGTTTGACATTTAGGTTCAATCTGCCCAGACAATATAGTGAGGTTCAGTCCGCCCAGACAATATAGTGGTTAGGGGAGCTGCTTATGACACCAAATGACCTAGGTTTGAATCACGGAGAAGGCATGTATTTGTCCGTCCTCTCATAGGAGGCGAAGTTGGCCCACCTATTAGGTGTCTATAAAGTGACCACCACTTCTAGCCATAGTAGTGGTCAACATCTGTGGGCCTGCTATTTAAAAAAAAAAGGTTTAATCCAGATAAAATGCACAGCTGTTTTCTGATTTTTTTAATTTGCATTTATTAGTAATTTTTTATAAATTTTTTTTTTTTAAATTTAATTTTTACCTATAAAAGTTTTGTGATCACCTTAAGATAGATGTATTTCTAGTTATACCTGCAAAAAATTAGAATTTTTTATTCACAATTTCTGAAAATTTATGTCAATTTATATATTGGCATGTTTTGAAATTTGGCATATTTTATCTATGCGGTAATTATGCCAAATAGGGTGTATGTACTTTATTAAAATTACTTGTAAGAATGAATGATGTACCTTTTATTCTGTTTTGGCACAGATTGAAAAAAGTGGGCCAAGATAAATTTTTGAATTTCTCAGTAAGTTTCTTACCACATTTTACAAAATCTGGTGAGCATAATTTATTTTTTAAGCATAATTTGAGTTGCAGAATCCAAATATAGAAAAAATAGGTATGTTATTTCAGAAAAATTCTGAGTTTTTATCAAAATACATATGTGAGAACAGTGCTATATATAAATCTAATATATATGCTAAGTTGCACTTTCAAGATATGAAACACTTAAATTAAATTTCCTTAATTGGCCCAGTAGAACGAGAGATATAGAATTGTCCTTTTTTTAAAACCCAAAGGGGCATTAGACCCAAAGGACTATTGGCATTTTACACCGTTTCACTTTCCAAACTGTTGCCACCAAATATAATCGCCATGTATTTTATTTAAAAAGATTAAATAATGAAGAATCCGTATGAATGCTGAAATGTTTCTTGCCTTGTGAAAAAACAACGGTACCTAGAGCCATTAAATTTTGAATAACGTAGTCTTCCAACCAGACATAGACACTTGGAAGCCGAAATTTTGACTTTCGAATTTGTTTTTTATTATCTATTTAAAATTTTGTCTAACTTTAAAATGTATTTTTGATTAACACAAACTCAGTGATTTGAAAGCAAGCAATAGCAACACTGTAGAGCAGGGATGTCAAACTCATAGGTACACTTGGGCCAAACAAACAAGGTACTTTAGGCAGACCGAAAAAAAAAAAATCGATATTCATAGAAATGTAGATTTATTTCGAATAATACAATAATAAACATATATATATATTTATATAGAAAAGAACAAGAAAAATTTAATGTTTACGTCCTGATACTTGACATCTCTTCTCTGCTATTATCTTTCCTATTTCGGGAGAAATTTTGTTTGCAGTGATAACTTTCAACGCTGACCCAAGGTGAGTATCATTAATACGGTTTCTAATAGGAGACTTATTACCTTTCATGACTGAAAATAACTGCTCGCACTGATAAGTGCTACCAAACATGGAAATAATTTCATATGCGAATTTTCGAGTATTTTCAAACCTGGCTGGTAAATATTTGTAAAATTCAGGCACGCCCACTTCAATGAATTTTGCTTTCAAATTTGAGTTGCATTGAATCTCGATCACCTCCATTTGCATATGGCTGAGTACTGAGTCAGTACTTATTAAGAAAATTGAAGAAAAACAAAAAAAATTTGTCTTCCAGGAACTAAAATCATTAAACCTCGTTTCGAATTCAGTTGTTAAATTTGCAATTTTTTCTGCGTATTTTTGATACGAACAAGTATCATCTAAACTTGATTTGTTGATGCTGCACGTCGGCAAGTGCATCAAATCTTCATTTTTAAGTTGTTTTCCCAAAGAACTAGTTGGCATTTGAATGCTTTAATTATGTCAAACATGTTCGTAATGATATGATTTTTTTCCTTGTAACGATAAATTTAAATCGGTTAAGTGTTTGGTTATATCAACTAAGAAAGATAAATCTTGTATCCATATTGGATCGTAAAACAAACTTACGTCTTGATTTTTCGTTTTTAAAAACTGATATATTTCTTCTTTCAAATCCCAGAATTGTTTGAGAATCTTGGAGCAAGATAACCAACGTACATCGGTATAGTAGGACAAACCCGAATATTCACTATCTAACTCACTTAAGAAAGCAGTGAATTGACGCTGATTTAAACCTCGAGATCTTATAAAATTTATAACTTTTTTTATATATGACAAAACATTCTCCATATTTATTACTTTCGTGCATAGAACTTCTTGATGTATAATACAATGCATATGATGAATGTTTGAACCAAGAATTTCACTAAGTTTTTTTCTTAGTAATGCTACGAAGCCCGTATTTTTCCCGGTCATTGATGGTGCGCCATCTGTAGCTACAGAATTTAATTTTGCCAAAGGTAGATTGTATTTCTGCAGAAGTCCAAAAACACAAGTAAATATATCTTCTCCTGTGGTAGTAC